AATTGCTGGTGCCGAGAATACCGACTAACTTGTCATTGAAATTTTTTCGTTTTCAATAACCTCTCTGTCACTTTCTTCACTATAGGAAGTGGTATTTTCTGGATCTAGAACCATACTATAGATTTCACCATCCGTTAATTGATTGATGATTGGGGCATTGTCGTTGCAATGAAAAACTTCTGTTATATCATCTTCATTTATTACCACTTCTCCACATTTCTTTACAAAATCCAATAGCTGGAAAATTTCACCTTTAGTTTGCGATGTCCGAAAACCTTCAAATTCGCGGTTATCATCTTCATCGTCCTCAGCATGAAATATGGTAGCTGGTCATAAATTATGCCAAGCATTTTTTAACGTATCTGGAGACACATACTCCCAACGCACATGTGTAAATGCATTATGTGCATGCATAAAGTATACAAAAAAAAAAAAAAGTTTGTGGCTTTGAGGTCCAGATTATAGATCATTCCGGATAATGGATGTCTAGATTACGGACTTTGTACTGTATTGCTTAATGTGGCAATGCTATGTTGCTTCGATAATGTAGTTTATAAAAACTTTAGTCATTCGTCTGTTTCGCTGCTTCATCAGAAACAAAATTTGGAAGGTTAAATAAAAATATTTAAAATGTTAAATAGTGTTTGTATTTTAAATTTATATTACAGTCCACTTAGAAATAACAACTACAGCACAGTTTAAATCCAGAAAATACTGTCAATAGTAGTGGATGAAATGATAAAGAAGTTGCTGAAAATGAAAAGATTTCAATTGACTATTTAATATGAATTCTCAACATGGCAGTTATAGGACTTGAATGGAACTTTGTACTGAACAAGAAATTATCTCTTTCTATAAAATTATTAAAGATAAAGGAATAAAATACATACACAATCGAAATTCTTGAAGTAATTAAAGTTAAAAGAAATGTTTAATGAAACAAAATAAATGTTAACATTGAGGATTTTTCTTAATTTTCTTCTTCCCTTCCCCCCTTTTTTTTGGTAAATTTTGGATGAGGTTATTATTGCTTGATTATTTAATGAACAACCATTTCATATTTTTAATTTTATAAATTTTACATGTCATCTTATAAGATTTAATTAATGAATTAATGACAAAATCCAGAAGTCCTGATGAATCTTGAACTTTAATAAAAACATTTTTAAAAAAAAAACCTTCAGATTTAATGATAATAATTTTCCTTAATTTTTGTCATAATGTCTGGGAAAATGTAAAAGAAATATAGCAGACTGCTTCAGAAGAGCTGAGAATCTATGCGAATTACTCATAAGTTTAATTAAAAGTCTATGTTTGATCATACATTTTAAAGTGCTCCTTGACTTAGTAAAGATGTATTAGTAAAGAAATTTACATTTTAAAGTGCTCCTTGACTTAGTAAAGATGTATTAGTAAAGAAATTTACAGTAAGAATAAAAAAATAAAGAATTTCAGAAATTAATGAGAATTGTAATCCTTGTATTTATTAAAAATCACACATTCCCCCCTCCTTTTTAAAGGAAGTTAGCTCAACAATGCATAGTTAAATATCATTATCATTGTACCATAAGTCAAAAATACATTTTAAAACAGAATAAAAATGTTGTTGAAAATTTAAAACTTAATAATAAAAAATTATTGATTAAAGGTTTTCTTCCGCAAAGGATACTGTAGCAGCGGTGTGTATTTACTCGCCAACGGCTAATCGGCCAAGATTTTAGAGTTAAGTTGCAAGATATTTAGCATATGGAAGCTATGATTTTAGCAGTGTACAATCAAGTTATAAGATATTTAGCATATAGAAGTAAAATAAACAGGTTAACCATAACATTTAAAGCATAAAAATTAAAGAAACGTATTAAACACATATAAATTAAAGTTAGCAGGAAAAGGCATACATCAACTGGTTAAACATGATATTTAAAGCATATAAATTAAAATTAGCAGGAAAAGACATAATATTAATTGGTTAAGCATGATAAAGCATATAAATTAAAGTGTATATAGTAATACTTAGGCTTAGCATACTCCATATCTCTTTTATTAAATTTATATGGTTCTGTGGAGGACTTTTTTTTTTCCCCCAAAAAAACTGTGCTGGTGAGGAAATTGTCGGAGACCTGCTATGCTATAGGAAAACAATCCTTGCCTTATATCGATGTGCAAAAACATTCAGTTTGATGCTAGCACAATAAAAAATATTGGCTCAGATCAATAATAACTTACAATAAGCAATTACAACAATGAAAATAAAGTCTTTGCTTAAATCTCTGTTGAACTTATTATTATTCCCTTATATAAACAAAGTTGAGAAGTGGAAACATAATTGCTGCTTCACTTTTATATGTCTGTTAAATTCAAAATTTTGTAAATGTATTTATAACAAATATTTTCAATAACACATTAAAAACACTTCAAAAATAAAAAAACAAAATAATTGTCACCATAAAATAATGAAACAAGCATGAATGTTAAAGTGATGACTAGATGTCATGCCATAATCAGTTCCAATTATTTGTATTGACACACATTTCACTTTTCACATTTCTTTTCATTGAAAGAAGAAAGTCCACCTCTGAAAGATGTTTGAAAACTTACAAAAAATGATCTTCTGCAAATTTACCATAAAATGGACATAATTCAATGCTATATACATTAGTGCAATTTAGAATATCCAAAGTGAGAATCGAAAAAGCAATATTTTCATTTCTATTTATGAAATAACCAATGCTGTTGACAAATTAATATGTATCCTAGGATAATTCCAGTTCCAGGACATCATTGAAATTATTTCTTCTTATAACAGATGTGGGAAAAAACCAGCAGTTCCAGTATTCGAGACTTTTCATCTGGCCTGATGAAATGAAACATGACAACATCATTTTCTTCTGAATGATGCAGCCATATGCACAAAAAAGACAGATGAAACACTTTTCAAAATGTTATATCTGAAATGAGTCGTAAATGCTTTGCATGAAAAGTTCATGAATTGTTGCCGGACATTCACAAACCTATTTGTATTCTAAGAAATATCTTTTTAAATCCCTGTTATAGTGAGAATCTTTAGAGAGATTGCAGCTGATATATTAGTTTTGACAAAGTGGGTAACATGTCAAGTGAGATTGTTATTATGCCAAGCAGCAATTAACTTTAGGGGGCATGGCAGTGCGATAGCCCAAGATACTGAATACTGAAGATTCAAACTTGGATCAAACTAAAGAGTATTCAACAATTGTATTGCTCAACTACTTGTGAACTTGAACAGAAGTATGAATACCTTGTTAGTGAAACTCATGACTCATAAAAAAAAAAACAGGAAAATTTATAGTTTTCAAGATTAAAACATAGTCGATTTTGTTATGAATCCCATGGCTCTGACATGTTTTAAATATACTCCTGGTATACAGATAGAAGCTAAATAGTCATTGTCCTGCTTACAACAGCTATAAGATATAACATGTCAATGTAGAATCTGAAGGGAAGATTAGGTTATTCGAATATGGCAAAGCATACCAGCTATTGACCTGAAAAAGGATGCCTTTATGAACAACTTTCTAAGGAAAACTGGCTTGTATTTGCGTTACATATGAGGAAAATCACAAAAATCAACTATGCAGCCAGCCCTTTAACCATGATATGAACCCAGATCAAACTACCAGTATTCAGTGGTCTTAACGACTTGTAGGAAAAATCTGAAGAAAATGCTTGCAATATCATGTAATCAGAAATTAACTATGTGTTACATAGCAGGATTACTTTTTCAAGTGTCGAGGTAGAGAATGCTTTTTCCCCCTTTTTTGTTTATATAGGTATTTGGTGATGATATTATTCATTACTTATATTCTCTATTATTCATACAGAATATTGATACTTTTAGTTCATGTAAAAGTCTTTTTCATCAAGTGCTTTGCTTATCGATATTCTCAAAATTGTGTTTAATAATTAGTGCTACTGTACATATAATATATTAATGAATTTATTACTAAATAATACATTTAAAATATTCATTTTAAACAAGCAATTTTTCAAAGTTGTTTCTTGAAGTAAATTACTAATAGAATTTACTTCCTTAAAACATTCTATTATGAAACCACTGCCTTTTTCATAATAAATTTGACAATGCCAAGAATCTTCACTAATATTCACATCCTTTAAAGTAGCATTGTAACTAAAACTCAAAGAACATTATACATCTTGTTATCTTTCAAGAGTCTTTAGAACTATGATTAATTACTCAAAGCAGTGGTTTACTAACTTTGATGACCCTGGGAATACATAAAACTATTTTGTCATCTCAGAGAACCAATAATAATTTTTATTTCATTCTAATTATCTATTGTATATAAAAACCTAGCATTCTCTGAAAAGTAACTGTTAAAATGCATTAAAAATATATCAAATTTTTAAACATGAAAACTGATTTAATTCTTACTATTTTAGGTAAAAATAACAGTAATAAAAATAAAAACTTAATTATTTAAAACATATATTATTGCCGCCCACATTAATCATAATGTTTTAGGAGCCAGGCACACTATGGTTCTACGCGTTTAAAGAATTGAAAGTTTTAAGTCTTTTAAGAATTACATAAGCACACAGCCATGCTAATTTAACAGTCGTGTTATCAATTATCAATCACCCCTGCCATATTTTCACCTCATCCGATAGTGATGCACCACTAGCCAGCGGCAAAACGGAGCCCCAAACAGACGAGAACACAAGCACTTAAGTGCTTGTAGAACCTGGTTGCTACCTCTACCTCCGACAACCAAATTCACCGGGTTACCAGCTTTCAACTATTATTGCCATTTTTGGCAATGTTTACATTTAATGGATCCTTTGTGGAAGTGCTTCCTTGCTACAGTTTAAATATAAACTAAATAATTAAATGTTTAAATGTAAGCTTATGCAAGTTAAATAAATATGCATATATTTGTCTTTACATACTATACAAATTCAAAGCTAATGAGCTAAAATAATTTAAAGAATACTATGCTTACAGTTTTTCCTGAGCCGTTAGGTCCAAGGATTAATGTAAGAGGCTTGAAAAATTCAATGACCTGTCGATTACTGTCTTCAGGCCCAAAACTTCTAATGCCCATAATGGACATTTTCTCAATAACAGACATGATTCAGTCCTAAGAGACAAAATCTCCTGCAAAAGATGCATTAAATAAAATTACAGGTTTGTGCATAACTTACTTTATTAATAATGTTTGATAAAATTACTGTTTTGAAAACATATGAACATGAATAGAGTAAAAATATATTTGGTGAAAACCCCCTTGGTGAAAATCGGTGATTTTTTGGCACCATTCTTGTTTACATCCAATGCCCTTGACAGTAAAATGGCCTAACAACTTAGCGATAATTCAAGGGGTACCCCCCCCCACGAATAGCATCAACATTAGTACAATTTTTCAATCTAAATTACTTTATAAGTAAAGTAATTACTTGCAAGAGATACTATTTTACTTGGGAGGGTGTTGGCTCTCAAATGGAAGATATTGCATAAATGAAATAACATATTGGAAAACCAAAGATGTATTGAGGTACTGCTTGGATTATCACAAAGTTGTTTCATTTATGGTAACCTGAGTATTTCAGGGTGTATGTTTTGGAAACCCTATTATGATGTAGTTGGTTGTAATGTGTGAATGCAGTGATTTCGATAGTTGAGAGAATATTTCTCGGGGCTTATTTGTGCGCTGGATGTCAGTTAGGAAGTATATTGCTTATTTTGTGCTTTACACCCTAAATGCCTGCCGGTGGTAAGACTAACCTGAAGTTTCTGTACGATTTGGAAAGAAAACATTGAGGAAGCAGAAAGTGTTTTTTTTAAGTGGTTGAGGAGAGAAGAAAAGAAACTTTGTTGGGATGTAATTCAACGGAATACCTTACCTGGAACAACAATCATATCAGATTGCTGGAAGTCGTACCATTATCCTTCTGATAATGGCTTTGTTCACCTCTCAGTAAATCATACAGTGACATTTAAGGATTCGGAAGCCAGAGCTCATATCAACATTATCGAAGGTATGCGTGGTGTAATTAAAAAGGATTTTCAAAAGAAATGCCACCGACAGTCCAACATTACGGAGGATATTTTTTATTCCTACTTCTGTGAATTTATATAGCGACGGCAGTATATAGATTCTAGTTCAGATAATTTTAAACAGTTTTGGGATGCTGTTAAGGAATTCTATGTGCCACATACTGAATAAACAGAAATTTCAAAATAAGATAAGACAAATATCCTTTTTGTACTGCTCAGATTAGATAACATGCATGTCCATTTACACACAAATAGGAATGGCACAAAAAAAATTACCAATTTTTGCCAAGGGAGGGATCTTGAAATACAATTTTCCCAATGTATTTTAATACAGCATATCAATTTTATTTTAATTCAATAGGTTAATGTAATTTTAATTTTATTTTAATAGGTATTATCACAATCAGTTTAATTCCCACACTGCAGAATGTCACTTTCACAGCAATCAAGAGCAAGAGAAACTACAAAGTGACTAAGCACATGATTCAAGGTGAAAAGATGAGAAGCATAATAAGAAGGATGCCAAAGAAAAATAATCAAAGTTCCACAGCTCACTAAGACCAAATAAGACACTGAAATGAAATCTTGCCAGTTGTTATAAATCCTTTCATTTTTTCTGAAACTGAAAACATAATTAAAACTTTTACTAGTTCTCAGCATCAGGGCAGGTCCAGAGCATGTGCAGCCACAGCGGACAGCAAAATTTGTAAAATTTAGGGAGTTAATGGGTGGCAGATTCTAAGAATCGAAGTGACTGCACCTGGCAGCAAAAGACCTAGCACAGGCACTACTCAGCATTTGCTTGATTGCAGAAAATTGTCACAATAAACATGGTCCTTAGTTGGGAAATACTATTTCAGAGTTTGTGCACACCAAAATGCTAGAAATAAGAGGATAAAAGAAGTTAATATTCTCTAACATCTCAAAGTCCTCATAATTATGTTTCAACACAGAATAGTACTTGTACATTTAAACTTTTATTCTTAGACTTTAGTGTCCAAAAGTTAACAGTAAAGAGTCTGCAAGGAATTTTTTAACTAGAATTTGATATTAAATTTTATAAAAAATATAATTATGATATAATTGAAAAGTTAGCCTATCAAAATACATACTGTGTAAGAAGGTTCCACCAGCTTAGAAAGTTTAAGAATAATTTGGAAATGATAGTAAATTTTCTTACCAATTTCACTTAGTCAAATGCTTCATAAACAATTGATTTTTTGTAAGGCTAGAAATCTTCATTGATATCCAAATAGCTATGCTCTTTTAATGAGAATTTAAATTTTATACTTACAGCTGTAAAAAAATTTAAAAATTACATTCACAGAAACAATATACTGAAAATTTTTCCTTTATACAATTTTATGCAATGCTTTCAAAACAATGTGCAATTTCTGACATTTACAGACACAACAGAAAGCACTTAATTTTTTATGTTATTCTGCACTTGTTGTATATTCAATCGCACAGTTTTTACCATTTTTCTACGGGTATTCTCAAATTATTCTTTGGTAGCTGTATTTACTTTGCATGGCTATGAAGGCTATAATTACATGTCCATTAAATTGACTTCATTACCACATTCTACAGTTATTTATACTTCTTTCAAACAGCATATTCAGTTTAAAATCATTGAAAATTGGACTTTGTGATCCGTTGTTCTTTCCTTAAGCTCTTCATGAAAAGTAATTACATTGCTCAGAAGTATCCACTACTCTGGTTAAAAGAAAAAAAAATATTGCTTTACCAAATCATCATATCGAATCTGCCTTTAGCTATATGTCTCACTGACTATCTAAAGTTCACAGTCAGTAAACACATCATTAAAAGTGATTGATTGATTTCAAGGCGAGCAAGCATCATCTACAAATTGCACTATATTTTCAACTATGAATATTTTTAAACCTTTCAATGGTGTCTTATAAAAGAATTCCACTGTTTTAATATATTATACTTCATTTTAAAGCTGCATATACATGTGTTACTGAAAATGTTTGGTAAAAGTTTACAATTGGGTTTTCTTTTTTGCAGATTCTTTTTTAATGCCAAGATCAGTACCAGGAAGGTACAATTTCAAGATGGCCACTACACAAAAAAAATAAATAAATACATAAATAAATAAATAAAATAAAAAAATAAGAAGTTAAAGAATTGCACAAACTCTTTGTCCATGTCAAACTATTTTCAATTAAAAAAAAATCATCTCAGAATTGCACAAACTAGGCACTGCTCACTGCTTTAACTTTCTCTATGCTCACATCGATCTATTTTCACTTTAAAAAAAAAAAAAAAAAATCAGGAAGTTAAAACTATCATGTTAATCAGAAATGAGGTTTTATCGCCATAATTGAACAAAATATGTTGCTAATCGAAAGGGTACCCAATTCTACACTAGAGCCAAATTTCCTTAAGATGAAAACAGTTTATTTGCTTACGGTTGAAAATGGCTATTCAGCTTAGCTAGACAGCTACCCTAACATGTTTGTTACTTCTGTTCTAATCAAAACGATATAAAATACATTAACTCAAATATTTTGTTTATAACTACCTTGTACATTCAGTTTATCAAGCAGAATTGTTCGCAATTAAAATGGCTTTATCCTGGATCAAGAAATTATCCATGGGGTACTACATTAATTTATACTCAGATGCCTTATCTGCTCTTATGGCACTCTCCCGCCCCTTTCCAAAGAATAATATTGTTAATGAAATTAAGCATATATACTTAGAACTACGAAAGAAGCATATTTTGAATTTACATTGGATCAAAGCTCACACTAGTCATTATGGAAATAAGAGAGCGGATTCTCCAGCGAAAGAAGCCTCCCTGGGTGTTGGGAACGAAAAGGATTTTATTCAAGATTCGAAAAAGAAACATGTACTATAATATATGACAAGCTTATTAGAGACTGGAAAAATTTATTGGGTATCTCTCTGAAAGAAACAATAACTATCTAAAATGTTTAAAAATTAGCAAAAAAATGGGAAATTTAGGAGATGCAGCTGTCAATCAAATTCTCACTGCACATGGAATGTTCCCTGCTTACTTAAAAAGGTTCCACCTCCAGGCAAATGATATATGTAAAGTTTGTGATAAATTCAGCGATTCAAAGCATTTCGTTGAGGACTATTGCCTGACTGGAAGTGTGAGAGAAAAATATAAATTTGCGAAGTTTGAGAATTTATTTAATAATTATAAATTGTTTAGAAAATTTGCAAGAGATATTATGCAAACTGTGCATGAGAATAAGAATATTCATATCGCGATGTAACAAAGCAAAAAATCATACTGAACACAGAAATAATTGAGGTAACTTATAAATTTAAGATGAATTTTGATGATATAAAGAAGATCTGGGTTTAATCCTATTATCCGGTGCACACGGGATTTGGCTACTTTTGGCGACTTTATGATGAGCAGTAAAAACGCGACATATACGATGAATAGTAAACAGGTCATTCAAAGAATATATATGGTTATACATAGTATATAGTATATATAGACGTTCTTTGGATCATTTTTGGTGTTGGCGATAATTTTCAAAATCACGCCAAGGCTGCATCATATACTAGGATTTTACCAAGATCTGAATAATAATAACTAATTGAAAGTAAAACTTATAAAGATTTTAAACTCAGGAAAAAACACAGAAATGGAATTCGGTACTATTTCACCGAGAGTGTTTGAAATTTTTTTTTTTTTTTTGTTATGCCTTTGTGGCTGGGACTGTCTCCTCATAGCCATATGGCAGGTTTCGCCTGCTAAATGGGCTGGGGGCCAGTGCTCAGAACTAACTAACTGCCATGTACACAAATAGCAAAGAAGCTCCTAACCATAGCCACTAAAATAAATTATGAATCACAAGAAGACATTTTACTGAAAAATGACGGAAGCCACTGCTCTTAACATTTTATACTTGTACAGATTACACAATGTAATATAAAATCATTATCAAATTTCACTCATTCTTCGGTTTAAAAAACAGAAACAAACAAAAAAAAAATTAAAGTACATTTTTCCCATGTAAACATAATAATTACTTAAAATGAATAAATTGTAATTGAAACGACTATGCGTACAAACTAAGAATTTGAATTACCCGCGATGCAAAGGTTAAAAATAATTCTTAACAGTAACTCTCTAACATAACTTTCCGCTGAACAGACAAAATAGACAGAAGTTTTGTTTTGCACGTGTTACGTCTTTCTACACGCATGGCGAAAAAATCCTGTTTAGATACGAAGGAAAGGTCCAATAATCGCAAAACGAAAACAGTAGTCCTTTAGATACAAGAAACTCCTTTGAACTAAAAAGAGTTTAAAAAATAAAGTAAAGTAAAAACCCCAGACTATATCAAAAAAAATATTTATGGCTATAAATTAGACAGAGGAAAACTGCAATGTAATCTATCAATATTCCGTAATGTGCAAGTGTACAATATGTCAAAAACTGAAGTTCGCGTGCCTTACGAACTAGAAATAAAAGACCCCTAATGGCGTTGTTATAGGCATGTATCTCACCTTCATTTCTGCATTTCAGCTTAGCTAGACTGTTGTTTGTTGCTTTTGTTCTAATCAAACGGATATAAAAAATGTAAATGATCTGAGAGAGGCTTAATTAATGTGCCAAGTTATTTGTGACTGCAAAATATTTAACTAAAATAGAAGGTATATGCTTAAATTTAGATCGAATGCTTCTTATTAAATCTGCTATGTCTGCTTCATCCTATATTATTTCGTGTTTCCCAGCACTTCCAACAGGCCGCCGCGTGGGGGTGGCAAAATTGTTCACCGCACAAAGGCGCCTAGGCCAGGGGGCGCCAAATTTATTCTTATCACAAGAAATAAAACTCAATGCTGGATTTTTCCTCTTAGATATGCGTACAATATCATACAATATCACGCAGTAGTTACATTTTAAACTACTAAAACGTCAAATAAAACGCAATCCAAAGCTCAGAGAAAGCTAATACGATCTCACTGCAAATTCGCTACAGTCATCAAAACAGTTATGTAAACTACTGAACTGAGATATTTCTCTCCGGCGTTTTCAAACTTCTTAATCGTGCACCAGAAGGTTCTGGTGATTTCCGTTTTCTCGAGACAGACAGACAGACAGACTAAGTAGACAGATGTCTTGTTTTGCACCCGCTAAGTCTTTCTGCACCGATGGGCGAAAAATCAAGCATAGGTGCGAAGGAAAGGTATATAGAAAGGGGGCAATTTCGTATTTGAGGAGAGTAAAAAGGGAACTTCGTACATCTTGCACGAGTTCAAAAGGCCAGGAAGAAAAGATGGGACAAAATAAAATTTAAAATAAATGGCCTAAAAATAATAGATAGGAAAAAAAGGGGGCCTAAAGAAAGAAAAGGAAAAGGAGTAGAAAATATCCTAAAATACGATTATGTCCATGAGTGTAGTTAAAAGGAGGAAAATTGGTCTTCATTTACAATAAATAGTCTCTCACAAGTGTGTGTGTGTGTGTGTGTGTGTGTGGTGAGTGTGTTTGGTAATGATGAATAGATGTGTTACTGGGGAGAAAAAAAATATTGACGGGTTTTAAATTGCTTCGTATCAAGGTATTAGCATGAAATACAAATAATGTATGCTGAGTATATATGCAAAGTAATATGTATTGCATCCTGAGATATCAACAAAAGTCATCATACAAAGTATATATTAATTTAACTAAAGTAACTTGTGCTATTTTCGTTCCCAACATTTTCATACATTTTTCAAAAAACAGCAGCAGACAAACAAGATAGAACCATATACAATACAAGACCACAACCGTACACACACTCACAAAAACAAAAGATATATATATATATATATGTGTGTGTGTGTGTGTGTGTGTGTGTGTGTGTAAATTACTGAGTATATGTATTAAAAACACAAATTAAACATAGTATTTATTAATTTATATATCATAATTTATTACAAGATTTATTATTTACTATCATAATTTATTAACTACTCATAATGCTAGAGACAACAATGAGGGAACACGTGTTTCTTATATAAGCTCATAGTTCTAAGAATTTATTTAAGGCAGTGACGAATAATCCATCCGTTACATATGGACATTTAACAGATAGCAAGGAACAGTATGAGAAAAAAATCGGTGAGGTATAATGTTATTTAAAGGCAAAAAATATTTAAGCGATCTAAAAAAAAAAAAAGAATCCAGAGGATCCGAGGTGAAATAGCGCGATGTCGTAAGTCCCCTATTTTCCCTCTCACGAGATTCCTCAAAGCAAGATAAGGGAGCTTTGTAAGTGACGACAGACGTGAACTGATAACGTTGGCGTCTGTTCGGAATTGTTTAACAAAGGAAGCCACAGGCAATGAGCAATTTCAAGTATTTTTTAATGCTAAAAACTGATTAAAAGTTAAAATTTATTTATTTAAAGGCACATATTTATAGAAATTTGATTGAGTTTAGATGAAAGAAGGGTACTTATCTTAAAATTCCAGCCTTTCGTAGTACTTCCTCACATTGTCCGCTGTTTCATTCTCACCAACATCGCAACTGAAAAACTTTTGAAAACGTGTAGGTATTGTAGAAAAATCAATATTTCAAAGTAATTTAATTGATAATCACCAAGGGGAAAGGAATTTTTTCACTTTTTTACGGAGCGCTGCGAACGTCCAGCCGCTTGCCTCGGTGATCGCACAGTGGCGTAGCGACAGGGGGGGCAAAGGGGTGCATGATGCCCCGGGCGCCGCTCGTAGAGGGGCGCCAAATGGTCTCCAAACAAGATTTTCCGGAAAATTTCCGTTTTTATTTTGTTCGATTTCTGGAAAATATATTTAAATTTAATAACTATTGTAATATAATTAATCATTTATTTTCTTGATTTGTCTCATAAAATGTGTAATAAAATGTTTGCAGTACATCAACCAAACGTTCTTTCTGACCATTTTATTTCTCCAAATAGAGATATATTTTTTATTTTTTTAAATGAAATGCACGTATATCTCTCCGTTTTTTTTATTTTAAAACCATAATACGACCTTGTCCCGGATTTCTCAGACATTATCCAGTTTCTAAAAAAAAAAAACGATTTCATAGTCTGGAAATGACATTTTTGGAAAACTCCTAACGCTTCCGCTGCAATGAATTGCATTTGACTCTCCTGTAAACGAACTGATGGCTCTTCCTAGGTCTACCGATTAATCACTAGTCATCTTGCTGAGACATCGTATATTCACTGCTACAAAACAGTTCAACGTCTTGTCAATTGTTTTTAGTCTCCTACTAAAAAGGAATGCTGCAGGTCGCTCCTTCACTCCTTATCTAAAATGCATAGTTTTCCGACGTCACAGATTAAATTTGCATATTCCCAACTTTGTAAACGTTATAATTTTCCCTTTATAATCTCTTCTATTTCCTTTTGTTCAAAAAGGTTATCGATTATATGGTTTCATACCGAAACCCAATATCCCCTAATTGTTTTGAGCAGTGAATGTTACTTCATGACGTTACTCCGCAGTAGAAAAGAAACGGAACCTAAAATTCCACTACAGATATATAGAGAAAATGTTTTCCAAACCTAAGAGTCGCACTTTAAATACTACTTACTATTTCGTTATCGAATGCTAGCTATGAACGTTCGTTCAGCAAATTAAAATAAATTTTCACATATTTACAATCAACGATGGGCCAAGATCCCCTAAGTCATCTAGCATTTTTAAGTGTGGAAAGAGAAAAATTTGAAAGGATCGACTTTGATGAAGTTAATGATAAATTTTGCTTCATCCAAGGTAAGAAAATGTATACATAGTAATTAATTGTTGTTCATGTATTATATTATTATTAATAAATATAAGTGCTCGACCATGTCAAGGTGCACGTGATTGAAGCGAGATGAGAGCAAATTAAAATTTTTAAGTTGGCTGGTGGTGTGTCTGACAATTTTAGATCTTTGGCACTTTAAGCACAAACGTGTCCGGTTGGCTATGTCCTTTTGCGTGCTAGGCCATACGAAACGTTGCTGTATCAGTTTCCTCGAAGCCTTGATGCCAGGATGTGACAGACGATGTAACTGACTAAAAATGGCATGGCGAAACCTGGAGGGAACATAAAGTCGAAATCTTGAATCTTAAACATCATAATAAAGTGATTTTCCAGGTGACAGCTGCATAGGCTGCAAGTTGAGATTGGTGGAAGATTTGCTTTTCAAGAGGGTTTGTAGTTCTGAATCCCGGTGTTGTTCATCCGCAAGGGCAGCAAAGTTTATTGGCGAAGGAACGGCTAGTTGTTCAATACGAGACAAGGTGTCTGCAACAATATTCTGCGAACCCTCAATATAACGGATATCTTTTGATATATATTGCTCGTAGCATAAGTCGAAAATATTTGACAGCTTCATAAATTCCTAATAATTCGCGATCGTGAGTGCTGTATCTGGATTGTGCTGGTAACAGTGTTTTAGAAAAATATGAAAGTAGTCTCCATAATTCTTGATCTTTCTGTTGTAAAACTGCTCCTATACCTGCTGTAGATGCATCATCGTGTAGAGACATTAGGTTATTTTTTGAAAGCAGAAGATATGAAAAATATGCAACGGCCTTCGCCGGGAATCGAACCGCGGACCTCTGTACCGGCCCAGCGTGGCAGAACCACTACACCACAAGGCACGCTAGGAAAGCGGGAGAAATACCTTATAAACGTAGAGTGATAACTGGTTTAGATGCGGAAGGATACTGCAAAATTTGTTGCCGAAATTAAATCATTTTTTGCATATTTTGGAATGCGCTTCGCGAGATTCTGTGGTCCAGGTTTATAACACGTTTATAGTTTTCTTGCTTCCAAACGAAAAAAGAATTTAGAGGTGCTTGTGTGGTCACTGCATGAGGTAAGAAATGTCGATAAAAATTGAGCAATAGCAAGATTTTTAAGTCCTTCACTGAAGATGGTTTCGGGTATATCGCAGATAGCGGTGACTCTATCCTGGAAGGGGTCGAAACGCCGTCAGTGGAAATTTCATGACCAAGAAAGGAATACTCTTGGTTGGCCGAAAACGCATTTGGAAGGATTAAGACTGACATCGTACCTTTGAAAACGTTTCAAAAACTGTTCTCAAATGTGATAGGTGTTCTTGCTCTGAAGAGAGGTGATTAAGACGTCATCAAAATAGGTACACAAAATCGAGGCAGATTAACACCTGATTCATGA